AATGTTTCTATAACTTGACAATTTAGTTTCAAAACGTTTTTGATGAACGTTGCCAATGGTTTTTGTTTTAGTGAGTGTATAACTATACAACGCTTATACATCTGTTATTAGTAAAGAGCGTGTGTAACTCTTACCCATAGCTTAAACAGTGTATAAGTACACAGTTGTTAAACAGATGTTTTAAATATTTTTATTAGTAAGACTGTTTTTATATAACTAGTTCCAAGCAAAATATGACTAGCACTTACTGCAAAACACCACTTGCTTTATCAACCAATAAATACGAAACAGTGTTAACAATGATACAAGAATTGAAGTGTTCTAGAAATCTTGGGAAACTCCTTGTATGGATATCTGAAAGTATCGCTATTTCGTAAATATTTATAATTATTTATTAATAAAATTTGGTTTTTTTTTATTTGTAGGCGTGTATGAGAGAGAAGAAAACAATTTTGCCCGGGACGTTATGAAGTACAAACTTAGGAACATCGTTAAAAATTGGGTGAGTTAAGTTTTCTTACGCAACGTATAGATACTCGCCGAGAACAGGCGCCTTGTTCGGATGTGCTCGCTACTCGGCCCGAATGTTCGCCGGTTTCCACTCGATGTCGGTTTTTTTAGCACGAGTCGAAGGAATGTTCGTGTGTATTCATAGTGGTGTTTACATACTTGTCACTATTCGCTTGACCCGTGAACTTTGTCGCAGGTGATTATTATTTATCTTATAAAATAATATTTTTTATTTATTTATTTATTTATTTACACACACATATAACATACACAATCATTACAGGGTGAGTACCCTAATTCGACAGTGTAGCCAACGATACAATATGATATGCCATTTTACTGAGCTCACTCAGCGAACATGAAAATAAATCAGTTCGCTCCGACATGGTGTTGATCACACGCAGCGCGCGCGTGAACGGTGCTTGCTGCATCAGTGCAGTACGCGCGTGTGGTACTGCCAGTAACGACGGCCGCCGCCGACGCCCCGCACTTCCGTCAGACGCATTCAGTCGCACCATCTACAACACTCTCGGGCTGTGTATCCTACCCCTGAATACCTTCAACACGTACACAGCGAGAGTGACTTCTCTTCTGACTTCGAGCTTGTAGTACCCTACCATACCAAGTAAAAAAAGAATAGGATACAACAAGGGATATCCCGGGTACACTCCGAATTGCTTTAAGTATAAGAATCTAATAAATTTATTTTGGATCCGCTCTAACATATATTTGTATTTGGCTTCATGAGGAGCCCAAATGACGGCGTTACACTCTAGTGGCTCCTTACGAGTGTATCGTATAGCGCTCTCAGAGCCCCGACATTAGTGAAATTATTTGCAAGGCGCATTATCAATCCGAGATTACGGTATGCCTTTATACATACATTATTTACATGTGATCTAAAGTTTAATTCTGCAGTGAAATGTACACCTAGATCTCTAACCTCCGTTACTCTATGAAGCATCTTCCCGTCCATCATGTATGGGTGATGAATTGGGGCGCGTGAGCGGCAAAAGGACAGCACTGAGCATTTAGAGATATTAAAAAAAAGTTTATTATCTATGCTCCATTCTAAAACTTTATCAATATCATTAAATCATCAGCAAACAGTAATGAAGTACAAAAATTTACTACATTGGGCAAATCATTTATCATTAAAATAAACAGCAAAGGTCCTAGATTGCTGCCTTGACTAACACCAGATCTAGTAGGGTAGGGTCGAGAAAAGTGCCCATTGCAATCAATAAACTGACGCCGGTCTCGCAGGTAACTGGTGAAAAATGATAGCGTGCGAGGTGTGCAGCCCACACAAGCCAATTTACAAAGTAAAACATCATTGTCGACCGTATCGAAAGCCTTTCTAAAGTCGAAGTAGGCTACGTCTACTTGCAGGCCAGCATCAACCGCGGGTACTAGATGCGTCATCAGCTCCATTAAGTTCCCAGTTGTCCCCCGCCCAGGGCGGAAGCCGCGATATAGGGCTATAGTTAAAACTGAAACTGAGAGGGCGCATAACCAATATCGAGACCGTGTGCAAGGACATTTAGCATCGGAGCCAAAAGCCTTTTGGGAGTATATAAGATTGCGAAAAGGTACATCGGGAAGTAGAAAATTATTGAAGGATAAAAAGGTTTTATCAGATAGTGAATGTGCTAGAGAATTCGCAAATTTTTTCCAGTCAGTATACAGCCAGGAGCCACCTTTGTTAAGCGCGACGGTGGCTGGTGCTGCGGCGGCGGGAGCAGCTGCGGGCGCATGGGCTCAGCTTGAGCCTCTGCGACCAGTTGATGTTCTGCGTGCGCTGGCGCACCTTCCTTCGAAGCGTTCAGTAGGACCAGATGGCATACCAGCCTTCGTATTTAGGGATTGTAGGACAGTACTAGTGAAACCATTGTTACGCATTTTCAATGTCTGTATTGAAAGCGCTACGTTTCCTGATCAATGGAAACTCACTAGAGTTGTACCTGTACCGAAAGGTAGTGGGGGATCGACACCAAGTGACTTCAGACCCGTGGCAGTCTTAAGCACTCCAGCGAAAGTGTTCGAGACGGCCATTTACAACTGCCTGTACCCACAGATTAGTGCACAGTTGTCCGACGTCTAGTATATTATTTTTATTATTTAGTATTATAGAAGAGGTCATTGTAGAAGCGTGCTCGTCGGGGTCGGGTAGAATTGCAGCCCTTTTCAGGGCTGCAATTCTACTCAGCTGCGCACCCATGCCAACGAGGGTTAGGGCGTCCCCCCAAGGCGACGCATACCAGCACGTCCCCGTTGGTGTGGAATGCAGCGCGCAAAGCGGCGATGGGGACCGCCACCCGTCACGCACAGCCCGACACGGCGGAAGGTGGAGGACAGAGTGCAGAGTTGGCACGTGGAATGTTAGAGGAGGCATGAGAGATAAGACGAATGAGTTGATCGAAATAATGAAAGAAAGAGAATTAGATGTCGTGTGTATGTTGGAGACCAAACGGAAGGGCAGTGGTACTGCAAAGCTCCCTGGCGGGGCGTTTGCTCTATGGTCCGGAGTCCCGGAGAGCGAGAACGCCTGCCAGGGAGTGGGGGGTCTGCTGTCTTCTCGGTTGGTCGATGTTATGACTGAATATAAGTTTGTGAACTCAAGACTTCTCTGGGTTCGCTTTAAATTGGGACTGACGAAGTTATTCCTTTTGGCTGTTTATGCGCCGGTAGCTTCGTCGTCCAGGGCTGAGCTGGAGGAGTTTTGGGAGAATGTAAGAGAAGTTCTAGATTTGGCTAGGGGAAACGAAGGAATTGTTGTATGTGGTGATTTGAATGGATGGGTTGGTACCGCTCGACCAGGGTACGAGTCGGTACTTGGAAAGTTTGGCGATAAAAGGGTTAATGATGCTGGCAAGCTTATACTGGCGGTATGCAAGGAAAAGGGTCTTCTTGTGACAAACACTATGTTTAATCACAAGAAAATCCATATGTATACTAGAGAAAGAAAGAATGAGAGAAGTATGATCGATTTGTTCCTGGTGGATGACCGACTACGAAAACAGGTTATGGATACGCGAGTGTTCAGGAGTGCTGACCTGGGAACGGATCACTATCTAGTGATTACTAGATTTAGGGGTCTGTTTGCGGGTTGGCGCTACCGGACGGCAGTGACAGAACCACAGTCGGTCTGTCGCATCCGAAGCTGGAAGCTTCAGGAAGCGGATACTAGGGACAAATATCATGCGAGGGTAGCCGAAAAGCTTGACACCATCGATGGCAGAAACGAATGTGTAGAAAGAACATGGCAGAACCTTAGGGATGGAATGGTAAGTGCAGCGGAAGAAGTGTGTGGAACAATAAAAAGAGGCAGTAGTAAAAGAAGAGAAGCATGGTGGAATGATGAAGTGAAAGAAGCTGTAAAGAAGAAGAAGAAAGCATGGTTAGACTACTTGGCCTCTAGTAATGATAAGGATATGAAAGAGAAGATGAAAGAAAGATATAGGCTGCAGAAAGTTCACACGAAAGCATTGATTGAGGAAGTGCGTGAAAGGTGTAGAATGGAAGCGGACGAAAGGTTGTCGTACAACTTTAAGGAGAACTCCAAACTCTTCTGGAAAGAGGTTGGAAGAACCCGAAGTGGTGCGATGGCCTTAAGAATGAACAAAGTGCTTTCGAGAACTAATTACGTCCTCTCACAAAAATCGGCAGTCATGCAGCGATGGAGCGAATTTTATAGAGAAATGTATGCGTGTGATGATCTTAGTGAGGGATCCGGGGATGACGCCGTGACTGGTACGCCAGACCCGGACCTCAATGACACTGAGGTCATCAGTATGAAAGAGATTGAACGTGCGATTCGAAGTTTGAAATGTGGTAAGGCTGCGGGACTAGACAGAGTTACTGCTGAAATGGTCAAGTATGGTGGGCCCCGCGTCTGGGACAGCTTTCATCTGCTGTGCAATTTGTGCTGGCGGACGGGGGATGTCCCGGATGATTGGCGATCCGCAGTCATTGTGCCTTTATATAAAGATAAAGGTTCACATTTTGACTGCGGGTGCTATCGGGCGATCAGCTTGACCAGTTTAGCAAGTAAAGTTTACTCGAAGGTTTTGACACGTAGGATGCAAGAGAAATCGGAAAGATTTCTATGGGAGGCACAATGCGGATTTAGACCTGGAAGAGGATGCACGGATCAAATGTTTTCTCTCCGCATGATCACGGAGAAGCTTCTGGCTGCGAACCAGAAGATTTTCTGTGCTTTTGTGGATCTTGAGAAAGCATTTGATAAGGTTATAAGGAAGAAAATGTGGGAACTGTTGCCGGGGTATGGTGTGGATGGTCGATTGCTAAGGGCTGTGCAGTCTCTTTACTGTGACTGTAAAGCCTGTGTGCGGGTAGGGCATGACCTGTCACCCATGTTTAGCGTCCAAACGGGCGTAAAACAGGGTTGTGTCATGTCTTCCTGGCTGTTCATACTGTATCTCGACAGCTGTTTACAAAAGCTGAAAGATAGCTGTTTGGGTGTGAAATTGGGTGACATAAAAGTAAATTGTCTGCTGTATGCTGATGATGCAGTGCTTATTGCACCATCAGAGGCAGAACTGCAGGCATTAGTCACGTGTATGAAAGAGGAATGTGAAATTAAAGGTCTCCGTTTGAACGCTAATAAAACTAAGGTTCTGGTATTTGAAAGGGACGAAGAGAGAACGAAGTGTGAAATATGGGTAAATCAGGAATGTCTAGAACAAGTAAATGAAATTGTATACTTGGGGAGTCCTTTTAGCCGGGATGGAAGATGTGATTTAGATGTGGACAGGCGTGTCGCTGCCGGGAACAAAGTCAATGGTGCCCTGACTGCGTTAGTCAAAAGGCAAGGCGTAGTGAAGAGTGCACGCCTTGCAATACATAACGCAGTGTTGGTACCGACTTTGTTATATGGCAGCGAAACCTGGGTATGCCAGAAGAACCATAAAAGCAAGTTGAATGCAGTGGAGATGCGATCTCTTCGTAAAATGTGCGGCGTTACCATGGCCGACCGAAAGCGAAACGAAGAGATTCGCAATATGGCAGGTTTGAAAGATGACCTTATCACAAACATTGATAAGGGCGTGCTTCGGTGGTTTGGGCACGTTGAGCGAATGAGTGAAGACCGAGTGGTGAAGAAAATATATAGCGCGAAAGTTAATATTAAAAGGTGTCGAGGTAGACCGAGCCTAACTTTCGAAGACCATGTGAGCAAACTGCTCGAAGAGGGGAGGGTCGAGAGTACTCGGATACCTAGACGTGCATGTATGAAGAAGATAATGAATCTGAAAGAAGCGAAAGAGGTATGTAAGGATCGTGACACTTGGCGATCTGTTCTCTCTGGCTATCCCGTCAGGGATTGTGCGTGAAGATAAGTATTATAGAACTTTATCAAGGAGAACCGGTGATATGGGAGCCTGGAAATCGGTTTTAAAAAAATATTAATAAAAATAAATATTTGCGAGTCTATAAATATTAAGTAGACATGAAGTCGTAGTGACGAGATCCACGTTTAAAAGATCAACGTTGAATGAATACAGACGAATATGTAAACGCGTCGTACTCGTCCACGAATAACTCGACGAGTTATACGGCGAGTTGTGCGTCCGATAATAGATATTTTTAAGGATACTAAAAGTGACTCATCTTTCACTTTGTTTTTTTTTTTAATATGTTTTCTTAAAATGAATAATTGTAATAATTATTAACTGACTTGCGGTTGATACCATTTTATAGTTTGCTTTGAAACTTGTTATATGGTGTAAAATATCCACTACCGCATAATATCATCAATAAATTGAAACAAGAGACCAGTATCTTCCTAAAACAAGTGAAAGCAAGTAAAAATAATAAAAAGCTGCACTTTCTAACCCGTCTGCGAAGTGTGACAACTATCGCAAAATAAATAAAACTCGTTTGATATTAACTGTTTTTGATTCCCCACATTTCGACGACTGATCTTGGAAACTGTAAAGTCAAATAAAATCATTAACTATGGCGGAATCCCGCTATGAAGCCTGCCCCATAAATCTATGAGATGCCTATGCTCAGTCATGGGATTATGATAGGCTGTAAAATTAACTATTAAGAAATAGGTAGTAAAAATGACAAAACTTGTTTTCTCCATTTTTGAGGCTATTTCTTCTATGTGTATTTTATTTGAAATGTATAAAATACAGAATATTTTAATCATTTACAGATGGAGAACTACAGGCGATCGCAACAAAACGACGACGGCTATTTTCTGGAGACTCTGTAAATGCCGATACTGACATGCCTTTTCGTAATTTTTCGAGCGTGTTGTGTGAAGTGAGCTTGTATTCAAACACACAAATTACACATATATCTATAGAATCTTTTGATAGTAGATTGAAAATATTGTTTAAAATAAACCCTACTTGTTTCCGTGTAATATAATTTCAAGTAAATTAATTCCAGGTAATTTTCATTCACTATTTCGTATAACGGTACAACAAGCTTACTTCGTATTCAATCAAGTAATATTTAGTGAAAGTTTACTAACTAAAAAATGAAATAAAATAAAGAATTAAAAATATGATAGAGGTTATAAATTTTATTGTCAATTAAATAATACTATTACTCAATGGAGTCTTTTGTAGATACGTACTGTTTCTTCGTCATTTGTGTTAGAATTATGTTAATATAATTATGATAAGGCTGGAAATTATTTTTATTGTAAGATTTTTCGTGCCTGATATATTATATATAACTGTTCCTTTTTGCGAGTCATAAAATAATTTTACTTAAGTTTTTCAACGGCCCCGCCCATCTATCACTAACATAGTCTTTGAAATAAATCTGTACCTGACAAGGATTTTCAGTTTTCGTATTATGTTATCATATATTTATTTAAATTTTATGTTATAATTTAAATTTTCTAGTCAATATAAGAGCTAAACATAAGTTTACCATCATTTTATTGTAGTAACTAATGAATATAAATACGTTTCGACGTGATTGTTTCTCATTAAGAATATTTTGATTAATCTAATAAATGGTTAGATACATAAACGTTGTTGTTTATTTTATTAAAACTTTTATTTTATTTAAATACACTTCTGCTTTCCAACTAGCTTGCCAACCGTGGCAACTGTGGCAAATTCTCCATATGAGGCAATCTATGTGTGAAGACTTTCATAGGCTGTAACGGTAACGGTAACGGTAACGGTAACGCGTCTGCTATGAGATAAGGGTACAAAAAATCTTATGTACGTGTTGAGTTACGAGATGATTATCATCGGACACGTCCGATTCAATTTTTGTTAACTATGTAGCTATACAATGAGTTTTAAACTAACAGTTAAAAGCTAAGTCTAAGTTTCAGGTAGGTAAAGTGAATGTGCAATATAAATAATTGGTTTTTGGATTTGGACGTACGGAATAATTCAGCGTAAGATAGCAGCTGACTCAGGACACCCGAGTCTCGGTTAAAAAGAGCAAGGCCGGCTTCTCCGTCTCTAGATGGTAATGGACAGCTTTAAGGTTGAAATGAAGTCCCCTGATGTTGCAAAAATTCACGGATAGCGTGACAGGGGCCGCCTTGGTTGTATTGCTCCGCTTGCCCCGAGCAGCATTAGTCGCGAGCGGAATTCCCCCCCCCCCCCACTCACCAAGCGCAACGCAGAGGTAAACCTCTACTTCACGCTGGTATTCTGTGAGGTCGTGGTACCACCCCGGTTCGAGCTGGAAAGAAAAGAGCTTACACCTTTCTAAAAGGCCGGCAACGCATCTGCAATTGCCCTGGTGTTGCGGTTGTTCATGGGCGGCGGTAGTCACTTACCATCAGGTGAGCCGCATGCTCCTTTGCCCCCTCTTCTATAAAAAAAAAGCTTAATGCTGCTGTGTTTCATATGGTGAGTGTAGAGAACCGGAAATCATTTTTACTGGAAAAGAGGCATTCCATTTTAGTCTTACGGTTGACAACGCATCCCTATTTTCGCAAACGAGGATAGATGTAGATGTCTATGGGCTACAGCAACCACTTACTATCAGGTGGACTGTGTGCTCGTTTATCCTATAATCAAAACCTATAGATACCTACCTACCTATAGATTACCGTTCGGCCAGAATCAGAAAGAAGGAAGGTCTAACAGTACAAGTACATATCTAAGTTTCGATATCTTGTAGTTATATCACATTAAAAATATCTTTTTCGATTACAAAGTTACATCTGCAGTTATTGTAATCGCGAAAAAATATTGTACTGTACGTATTTTAGTAGACAACAAGTAACAATCGTGATGTTGATTGATGTTTGCGAAAACATTTTTTCAATGTAAAGTTAAGTTTTTCCTTCAATACCTTTGTCTTTTTCGTTAGAGCAATTTTCCGTGCTATTACTAACTAAGGTAACCTATACTTTCCGGGTTGGATAAACTATCAATATACATAATAAGTTTAAGCGAAACTCTCAGGACACGTGTCCTTCTTGCACCTGTCTGGTTTTTTATTGACCTGTATCTCTTTTCTATCTCTACGTAGTATAATGGCTGATTTACACAGGGACAGTAACTGGCTCCAAATTCGAGGAAAGTTAGTGCTGACCCGCTACTGGCATAATGTAAATTGATTTGAAGTCAGTACAGCACTGTCTGTGCGACTACTGACTATGTGTAAATGGTGCAAGTCAGTCGTGGGCGCCAGCACTGTCGCCTGTTATTATCCCCGTGTAAATCAGCTGCTTCCCGTCGTCTGTACGCTTAAGTCTTCTAAACTACGCAACAGACTTTGATGTGATTTTCATTAATAGATAGAATGACAAAAGGAATAAATATATATATGTATATTACACACAAACAAATATAATTATTTGTTTGTGTGTAATATACATTATATAATTATTCAATCCGTGTGTATGTAACTGAATTCCTGCTCAATGGCTGGACCGAATTTGATGAAATTTGTGTGCGTGATTAAGTTGATTAGATAATGGTTTACATTCACAATTGGACCCAGTAGCTGGCATTGTTGTCGTGTTTCAGAGATCAACCTTGCGAAGCCGGGGCGGATCACTAGTTATTTCATGTTAATAATAATTAAAAGAAACCATTAAAAAGGATAAGTACCTGCAAAGGTTTCTTTAATTATTATCAGCCAGAGCTTGACTAGTATGTAAGCCGATTGATGGCAAGTGGTAATAAAGCTGAACGAATATGGCACTGACTTAGTTTAACAAAAACCTATTCACTTTTGGTTTGCCCTTCACAGTGTCTTCTCCGCTCAAGAGAGAATTTTTAAATATAAAAAACATAGCAGCATTAACCAAATTTTTATCAAGTCTCAATAAATATTTAAAACAAAATCGCTTCTACTTTGTGGATAAGTATTTAGATAACAAGAACTAACACTATTATGTATTTTTATTAATGATCAAACGAACTTACCAAGTGAAGTTCTATCTTAATTATGCGAACAGCTTCATTCTAGCGACTCACTCCCCAGTAACCACGGATGCTGTAAAGCACCCGGAACGCCGAGAATTTAAAAATAAGTATAATTAAACGCGATAGAATCTTTAAAAGTAGTTTTATTCAATGTGTAGTGTTGGCGTAAATATAAGAAATCATTATATTCTAAAGCTATAGTAATATATCCACTGTATTTATTTTAGTGTTTCCAATGATAGCAATGGAACTTTTTGATTTTAAAGTAGATTGAAAAAGATTAATGTTAATAAAAAACTAGTGCTTGAAAAATTAACAAGAAAACGTAGTATTTTGACCATTTTTACGCTTAAAATTCCTTTTACCAGTAAAGTTAATTTATGCAATTACAAGGTAGTCTGGTGGAGATGTTTTTTGTGTGTTGACTTTACTTAGCACACCTTAGACTTCCATTTTAATCATTGGAATTACATGATTTGACGAAAAGGTTTAATTCATTCTTCGTTACGAATAAAACGCGTAATGTGGCCTACATTACGCGTATTATTTAAAGTTAATTTTACACGTGTAATTTAAACGCGATCTAAATTTGAATATCATCGTAACAGAAAAAAAAGTATGAATACAAAAAAAAAACTTTTGTGTGTGTGCAAGATTGCAATGTTGCAGATGTTTACGAAAAACATTGTTAAGATTGCCTACTTTGTGGAGAAGCATGTCTAACGAATTATTTACTAGTCAACCCACGATATGGTGTGTACACACGTATTTGCAAATCCTCATCATCATCAGCATTACAGTTCATCACAAGGCCACTGCTGTGCATAGGTCTCCCACAAGGAATAGCACAAACGCATAGCTTCCTACATCTCTTACTAGGTGGTCACTCCATTTAATGTAACCCCCCCTACACTTGCCCCGCGGTGTTATTCGCGTCTACGTTGCAAGTCCAGACAGTCATGACCCACACTAATTATTGATATCGCATAGTATCTCTTCTCATATTTCGAAATAACAATAAATGCAGATTTTAAGTTAGACTAAGACCTTTCGAATAGCAACAATTACTTCAAAAATTTTTCTCTTCATACTCCAGTACATTCATCATCCTTCTTCCATAAATCATTTTCTGTTACAACTTTACGCTTGTGGATCTACTTGCCTCTTATATTTCCACCATTTGATGAGTTAATTCGGACAGATTTTGGAAATCTCTTAAATATTTACAATATTTATATATCATAATTTAATCATAAGGTTTAAAATGTTTTTTGCACCTTGGTCTTGATACTTTACAAGTTACTAAAATATTTTAGTAATTTTTTACCATACAAATATGAAATACCAGTAAAATAAAAAGTGTCGCACAAACTGTAACACCCTACTCTAAGGGTTTGAATCTTCTAAAATCTTTCCTTATTGGATGCTTAAGTAATAAAGGGAAGTTATTATCCCAGTCTTAAGCTTCTGCGTCCAGCGGTTTAGACTCAGCGTCTAATTATAATATTTTTCATACAAACTTTGCACTTTGCCCCTAATTTTAAGGATTTTTGAAAAAATAATAATGGATGTATCATTCATATGAAATCAAAAGTATTTACAAAATTCAATAAGTTAGGTATTTTAAAAAATACAATAATTATTTTGAACACAGTTTTTCCTCCGTAATGGGATATAAACTAAAATAATATTTCGTAAAGATTGAGAAATCAATTTTACATTTTCTCATTTAATATAAAATGAGATAGTCGACACTAGACATGGGACGAGTACTCGATTTGGATTCGGTACTCGGCGGATTCGGCCTTTTTTAGGGTTCGACCGAGCACCGAGTATTATCGGCCGAGTACCGAGTACTCGGCCTTAATTATATCAAAGAGAAAAATAGACAAAAAGCCAGTTTTTATCATCATTATTATTATATAAGATACATTAAAACACCAGGAACAGGAGAAGCAGCAGAAATATTTAGAACTTACATAAGAAAAAAAAATTTAAGAGAGGAAGATTGTGATGCAAAAACGCTAGTTTTTCGGCCCTATTTGGGTCTAGTTTGTAAGGGAAATAACCACACGCCGCTCGCTAAAACGTTTTTTTAAAGCCGAGTATTTGGCAGAGTATAGTCTAGGCCGAGTATCCGGTGGCCGAGTACTCGGCGAATTACTACTCGTTCCATGTCTAGTCGACACCATCATCATTAAATATCTAGATTTTTGATTTTCCATTTTAAATAATATTAGATTTTTTCGTATTTCAAATATACCTATGATTTGATACAATTTAATGAATGTTTTTTTTACCTCTTAAAATTATTTTTATTGAATATTAGAGAGTCGCGTCTGTGGATTTTAGTTTTATCGTCATTATAAAATTCTAAGACACATATAATATATGCATTGTTTGATATATTTATATATTATTGTCTACGTGGTAGAGCCATACTGCAGCTATATTATGGTTGTAGCACGAATGGGTCGGCTAGACCGGGGAAGGACCACGCTCTCACAGAAAACCAGCGTAAAATAGCAGCTTAACGCTGCTGTGTTTCGTATGGTGAGTGTAGAGAACCGGAGACCCTATTTACTGGCAAAGAGGCATTCCATCTTAGTCCTCACGGGTGACAACGCATCTGCATCTTGAGTCTTTATTGAGGATAGATGTAGATGTCTATGGGTCACAGTTACCACTTACCATCAGGTGGACTGTGTGCTCGTTTGTCACCCGATCCTTTAAAAAAAATTATATTATTACGACACGTTTTCGAAGTTTTCCGTTTCCTACTTTAGATAAGTATTACTTACTTGGTAGTTACGTCACACCTACCATACCTACTAGTCTTGGTGACGTCATTCACATGACGCATCTTGAAGTTCATACTTTTTGATTTTACAAGTTTGTCATATTATGATGCAACAGCTTAAAAAAATAATAACAAACCAAATGCGGCACAACACACCCGTGTATTTTATATGACGTGCGACGTCTTACGTTATTTCCAATGGCAAGCCATAATGACGTTGATTTTCTTGAACCTTATAATATTAAAAAAAATTTTTTTTCTTCGTATTTTATGCGCAGCTATACCGTTCATCCAATTGCGGTAAAACTTTGTCAACTTATTGCTTGCACTTGCACGAAAGTTATAGGCATATTACAATTAACTTTCACAGAATACCAGCGTAAAATAGCATCTTAACACTGTTGTTTTTCATATGGTAAGTGTAGAGAACCGGAGACCCTTTTTACTGGAAAAGAGGCATTCCATCTTAGGCCTCACGGGTGACAACGCATCTGAATTTTGATTCGCAAACGAGAATAGATGCAGATGTCTATGGGCCACAGCAACCACTAAAGTCAATCATCAAAAAATTCATAGAAACTGTAACAATCTATTTCACTCTTTTAGGGTTTGAATTTTTCAAAACCCATTCAAGTGGATGTCAACGCAATAAAAGGAAGCTGTTGTCTCAATTTTATGCTTCTGCGTCTTGCGGTTTGGGCTGTGCATCTTAATACAATATTCTTCATACTAACATTGAAAAGTTTGCAGTATACTGCTAAAAATACGCCTAGCCCAGAGATTGCCTCATAGGGGGCATATTTGGCGCAGAAGACTTGCTTGATAAGCAAGGGTTGGAAACCGAAGTTTTTAATTATTAACATATCTCATTTCATTTCATATTATTTCATACGATTACGACACTCACAAGACGAAATTGTGTAGTGGATATTCTTACAACCCAACTAGACAATTACCAGTATCGCAACAGTCATTGGTATAATACATTAAAATGGTATATTGTATTATTTTCCTGTAAATATTTTAAATATGCAAAACATTATACTTGGCTCTACCACGTATAATTTTTATACGTGGTAGAGCTATTCTGCAGCTACTTTAATAGTATAGTTGTAGCACGAATGGGTCGGCTCGACCGGGGAAGGACCACGCTCTGACAGAATACCAGCGTAAATTAGCAGCTTAACACTGCTGTGTTTCGTATGGTGAGTGTAGAGATTCAAAGACCCTTTTACTGGAAAAGAAGCATACTACCTTAGTCCTCAGGATCGACAACGCATCTGCATTTTGATTTTTTATTGAGGATAGATTTAGATGTCTATGGTACAGAGCAATCACTTACCATCTGGTGAACAGTGTACTCGTTTGTCATCCTATCCTGTAAAAAAAATATGCAAGATATGCATCGAAGGGATATTTTGTTCTGCTATGTATTTGATTTATTACTTGTTTATTATTTTAATTACCATAAATGTTATTTATTTTAGGTGGATGTTCTGCTTTTGGCCATTCCTGTTTTGGTGGTCATGGAAAAAGATCCAGTGACAATTCGATTATAGATGTAAGTGAAAAAAATTACATCTATATAGTTCTATTGTTTTATTATAAAAGTAACAAAAATTTACTATTCCTTTTAATTCCTTTTTTAACGATGTAAATAAATTAGAACATTAAATAGTGTTTAGTTATTAGTATATATAGAGTGTCTGTCCTATTTTTATTAACTTTACCGAGGTTTCAAAATTTTTATACTTTCTAACTTTTGACTTTGACTTTAAAAATGATAGCAGATTTATTATTCTATTTGAGTATGCTTGAAAGAAGCTAACTATCTACGGCCTTTGGTCAATATTAATTGTTGTACAAAGAAAATAGCTATAAAACTGAGTAAATTAAGTTCCCACATTGCGTTTAAAGCAAGCACTATTCTTTTTTGCGGGCGTCGCATTAGTTTTATAATACCTAACAATGTAGCCTATGATGCTCCGAAGGTGAAGAAAAATAGAACGATACCATGCGCTTCAAAAGCCTTAAAGCAGTTATGTCTTAAAATACCCGTGTAAAGTACTAGCATACAATATATATATATATATATATATATATATATATATAAGAAATAAACATAAAAATGTACACACAATCGAAACTTCCAGACACACAGAGAAGAAAATTGAACATTTATTAATAATCCGAAATATAACTCGTCGTACAGATTAGAATTAGAATTATGCCAATCACATCATTAGAAATAAGAAAATGTCGACTGTGAATACTATTTAAATTAAAAGTAATTTTTCAGGGTCGAAACTCTGATATGGTTGAGCGTCGCCAACTTGGACAAGAAGAGACTCCCCCACACCCCGTGTATCCACACTCTGGGTTTAGTGGAATATTACCATCGGGCGACGATATCATTCCTGTTAGGGATGGAGGTAAAACTATTATGTACAGTTTCTTTATTTTTTGCACCTATAATAATAGTATGGTTGTAGTACGAATAGATCGGATCGACCGGGGAAGGACCACGCTCTCACAAAATACCAGCGTAAAATAACAGCTAAACACTGCTGTGTTTCGTATGGTGAGTGTAGACAACCGGAGACCCATTTTACTGGACAAGAGGCATTCAATCTTAGTCCTCATGGGTGACAACGCATCTGCATTTTGATTATTTATAGAGGATAAATGTAGATGTCTATGGGTCGCAGCAACCACTTACCATCAGGTGGACTGTTTGCTCGTTTGTCACCCTATCTAATAAAAAAATGCTTTTTAGGAAGTTCCCAATTATAACTGTATTAAAGTAAGCTAAATGTTTCAATCAGTTTCAATTCGGGGCAGATTCCTCGGTTGACTCGACCCATTCGTTCTACAACCATATATGAGTAGATGCAGTGTGGCATTCTTTCAATGTTGTCTTTGTGGCAGGAAGTATTTAATTTATTAGAGAAGACGCACAAAGCTTACTCGCATTGTGGTACTTAAATACTTTTTATATAACTAGTTCCAAGCAAAATATGACTAGCACTTACTGCAAAACACCACTTGCTTTATCAACCAATAAATACGAAACAGTGTTAACAATGATACAAGAATTGAAGTGTTCTAGAAATCTTGGGAAACTCCTTGTATGGATATCTGAAAGTATCGCTATTTCGTAAATATTTATAATTATTTATTAATAAAATTTGGTTTTTTTTTATTTGTAGGCGTGTATGAGAGAGAAGAAAACAATTTTGCCCGGGACGTTATGAAGTACAAACTTAGGAACATCGTTAAAAATTGGGTGAGTTAAGTTTTCTTACGCAACGTATAGATACTCGCCGAGAACAGGCGCCTTGTTCGGATGTGCTCGCTACTCGGCCCGAATGTTCGCCGGTTTCCACTCGATGTCGGTTTTTTTAGCACGAGTCGAAGGAATGTTCGTGTGTATTCATAGTGGTGTTTACATACTTGTCACTATTCGCTTGACCCGTGAACTTTGTCGCAGGTGATTATTATTTATCTTATAAAATAATATTTTTTATTTATTTATTTATTTATTTACACACACATATAACATACACAATCATTACAGGGTGAGTACCCTAATTCGACAGTGTAGCCAACGATACAATATGATATGCCATTTTACTGAGCTCACTCAGCGAACATGAAAATAAATCAGTTCGCTCCGACATGGTGTTGATCACACGCAGCGCGCGCGTGAACGGTGCTTGCTGCATCAGTGCAGTACGCGCGTGTGGTACTGCCAGTAACGACGGCCGCCGCCGACGCCCCGCACTTCCGTCAGACGCATTCAGTCGCACCATCTACAACACTCTCGGGCTGTGTATCCTACCCCTGAATACCTTCAACACGTACACAGCGAGAGTGACTTCTCTTCTGACTTCGAGCTTGTAGTACCCTACCATACCAAGTAAAAAAAGAATAGGATACAACAAGGGATATCCCGGGTACACTCCGAATTGCTTTAAGTATAAGAATCTAATAAATTTATTTTGGATCCGCTCTAACATATATTTGTATTTGGCTTCATGAGGAGCCCAAATGACGGCGTTACACTCTAGTGGCTCCTTACGAGTGTATCGTATAGCGCTCTCAGAGCCCCGACATTAGTGAAATTATTTGCAAGGCGCATTATCAATCCGAGATTACGGTATGCCTTTATACATACATTATTTACATGTGATCTAAAGTTTAATTCTGCAGTGAAATGTACACCTAGATCTCTAACCTCCGTTACTCTATGAAGCATCTTCCCGTCCATCATGTATGGGTGATGAATTGGGGCGCGTGAGCGGCAAAAGGACAGCACTGAGCATTTAGAGATATTAAAAAAAAGTTTATTATCTATGCTCCATTCTAAAACTTTATCAATATCATTAAATCATCAGCAAACAGTAATGAAGTACAAAAATTTACTACATTGGGCAAATCATTTATCATTAAAATAAACAGCAAAGGTCCTAGATTGCTGCCTTGACTAACACCAGATCTAGTAGGGTAGGGTCGAGAAAAGTGCCCATTGCAATCAATAAACTGACGCCGGTCTCGCAGGTAACTGGTGAAAAATGATAGCGTGCGAGGTGTGCAGCCCACACAAGCCAATTTACAAAGTAAAACATCATTGTCGACCGTATCGAAAGCCTTTCTAAAGTCGAAGTAGGCTACGTCTACTTGCAGGCCAGCATCAACCGCGGGTACTAGATGCGTCATCAGCTCCATTAAGTTCCCAGTTGTCCCCCGCCCAGGGCGGAAGCCGCGATATAGGGCTATAGTTAAAACTGAAACTGAGAGGGCGCATAACCAATATCGAGACCGTGTGCAAGGACATTTAGCATCGGAGCCAAAAGCCTTTTGGGAGTATATAAGATTGCGAAAAGGTACATCGGGAAGTAGAAAATTATTGAAGGATAAAAAGGTTTTATCAGATAGTGAATGTGCTAGAGAATTCGCAAATTTTTTCCAGTCAGTATACAGCCAGGAGCCACCTTTGTTAAGCGCGACGGTGGCTGGTGCTGCGGCGGCGGGAGCAGCTGCGGGCGCATGGGCTCAGCTTGAGCCTCTGCGACCAGTTGATGTTCTGCGTGCGCTGGCGCACCTTCCTTCGAAGCGTTCAGTAGGACCAGATGGCATACCAGCCTTCGTATTTAGGGATTGTAGGACAGTACTAGTGAAACCATTGTTACGCATTTTCAATGTCTGTATTGAAAGCGCTACGTTTCCTGATCAATGGAAACTCACTAGAGTTGTACCTGTACCGAAAGGTAGTGGGGGATCGACACCAAGTGACTTCAGACCCGTGGCAGTCTTAAGCACTCCAGCGAAAGTGTTCGAGACGGCCATTTACAACTGCCTGTACCCACAGATTAGTGCACAGTTGTCCGACGTCTAGTATATTATTTTTATTATTTAGTATTATAGAAGAGGTCATTGTAGAAGCGTGCTCGTCGGGGTCGGGTAGAATTGCAGCCCTTTTCAGGGCTGCAATTCTACTCAGCTGCGCATCCATGCCAACGAGGGTTAGGGCGTCCCCCCAAGGCGACGCATACCAGCACGTCCCCGTTGGTGTGGAATGCAGCGCGCAAAGCGGCGATGGGGACCGCCACCCGTCACGCACAGCCCGACACGGCGGAAGGTGGAGGACAGAGTGCAGAGTTGGCACGTGGAATGTTAGAGGAGGCATGAGAGATAAGACGAATGAGTTGATCGAAATAATGAAAGAAAGAGAATTAGATGTCGTGTGTATGTTGGAGACCAAACGGAAGGGCAGTGGTACTGCAAAGCTCCCTGGCGGGGCGTTTGCTCTATGGTCCGGAGTCCCGGAGAGCGAGAACGCCTGCCAGGGAGTGGGGGTGCTGCTGTCTTCTCGGTTGGTCGATGTTATGACTGAATATAAGTTTGTGAACTCAAGACTTCTCTGGGTTCGCTTTAAATTGGGACTGACGAAGTTATTCCTTTTGGCTGTTTATGCGCCGGTAGCTTCGTCGTCCAGGGCTGAGCTGGAGGAGTTTTGGGAGAATGTAAGAGAAGTTCTAGATTTGGCTAGGGGAAACGAAGGAATTGTTGTATGTGGTGATTTGAATGGATGGGTTGGTACCGCTCGACCAGGGTACGAGTCGGTACTTGGAAAGTTTGGCGATAAAAGGGTTAATGATGCTGGCAAGCTTATACTGGCGGTATGCAAGGAAAAGGGTCTTCTTGTGACAAACACTATGTTTAATCACAAGAAAATCCATATGTATACTAGAGAAAGAAAGAATGAGAGAAGTATGATCGATTTGTTCCTGGTGGATGACCGACTACGAAAACAGGTTATGGATACGCGAGTGTTCAGGGGTGCTGACCTGGGAACGGATCACTATCTAGTGATTACTAGATTTAGGGGTCTGTTTGCGGGTTGGCGCTACCGGACGGCAGTGACAGAACCACAGTCGGTCTGTCGCATCCGAAGCTGGAAGCTTCAGGAAGCGGATACTAGGGACAAATATCATGCGAGGGTAGCCGAAAAGCTTGACACCATCGATGGCAGAAACGAATGTGTAGAAAGAACATGGCAGAACCTTAGGGATGGAATGGTAAGTGCAGCGGAAGAAGTATGTGGAACAATAAAAAGAGGCAGTAGTAAAAGAAGAGATGCATGGTGGAATGATGAAGTGAAAGAAGCTGTAAAGAAGAAGAAGAAAGCATGGTTAGACTACTTGGCCTCTAGTAATGATAAGAATATGAAAGAGAAGATGAAAGAAAGATATAGGCTGCAGAAAGTTCACACGAAAGCATTGATTGAGGAAGTGCGTGAAAGGTGTAGAATGGAAGCGGACGAAAGGTTGTCGTACAACTTTAAGGAGAACTCCAAACTCTTCTGGAAAGAGGTTGGAAGGACCCGAAGTGGTGCGATGGCCTTAAGAATGAACAAAGTGCTTTCGAGAACTAATTACGTCCTCTCACAAAAATCGGACGTCATGCAGCGATGGAGCGAATTTTATAGAGAAATGTATGCGTGTGATGATCTTAGTGAGGGATCCGGGGATGACGCCGTGACTGGTACGCCAGACCCGGACCTCAATGACACTGAGGTCATCAGTATGAAAGAGATTGAACGTGCGATTCGAAGTTTGAAATGTGGTAAGGCTGCGGGACTAGACAGAGTTACTGCTGAAATGGTCAAGTATGGTGGGCCCCGCGTCTGGGACAGCTTTCATCTGCTGTGCAATTTGTGCTGGCGGACGGGGGATGTCCCGGATGATTGGCGATCCGCAGTCATTGTGCCTTTATATAAAGATAAAGGTTCACATTTTGACTGCGGGTGCTATCGGGCGATCAGCTTGACCAGTTTAGCAAGTAAAGTTTACTCGAAGGTTTTGACACGTAGGATGCAAGAGAAATCGGAAAGATTTCTATGGGAGGCACAATGCGGATTTAGACCTGGAAGAGGATGCACGGATCAAATGTTTTCTCTCCGCATGATCACGGAAAAGCTTCTGGCTGCGAACCAGAAGATTTTCTGTGCTTTTGTGGATCTTGAGAAAGCATTTGATAAGGTTATAAGGAAGAAAATGTGGGAACTGTTGCCGGGGTATGGTGTGGATGGTCGATTGCTAAGGGCTGTGCAGTCTCTTTACTGTGACTGTAAAGCCTGTGTGCGGGTAGGGCATGACCTGTCACCCATGTTTAGCGTCCAAACGGGCGTAAAACAGGGTTGTGTCATGTCTTCCTGGCTGTTCATACTGTATCTCGACAGCTGTTTACAAAAGCTGAAAGATAGCTGTTTGGGTGTGAAATTGGGTGACATAAAAGTAAATTGTCTGCTGTATGCTGATGATGCAGTGCTTATTGCACCATCAGAGGCAGAACTGCAGGCATTAGTCACGTGTATGAAAGAGGAATGTGAAATTAAAGGTCTCCGTTTGAACGCTAATAAAACTAAGGTTCTGGTATTTGAAAGGGACGAAGAGAGAACGAAGTGTGAAATATGGGTAAATCAGGAATGTCTAGAACAAGTAAATGAAATTGTATACTTGGGGAGTCCTTTTAGCCGGGATGGAAGATGTGATTTAGATGTGGACAGGCGTGTCGCTGCCGGGAACAAAGTCAATGGTGCCCTGACTGCGTTAGTCAAAAGGCAAGGCGTAGTGAAGAGTGCACGCCTTGCAATACATAACGCAGTGTTGGTACCGACTTTGTTATATGGCAGCGAAACCTGGGTATGCCAGAAGAACCATAAAAGCAAGTTGAATGCAGTGGAGATGCGATCTCTTCGTAAAATGTGCGGCGTTACCATGGCCGACCGAAAGCGAAACGAAGAGATTCGCAATATGGCAGGTTTGAAAGATGACCTTATCACAAACATTGATAAGGGCGTGCTTCGGTGGTTTGGGCACGTTGAGCGAATGAGTGAAGACCGAGTGGTGAAGAAAATATATAGCGCGAAAGTTAATATTAAAAGGTGTCGAGGTAGACCGAGCCTAACTTTCGAAGACCATGTGAGCAAACTGCTCGAAGAGGGGAGGGTCGAGAGTACTCGGATACCTAGACGTGCATGTATGAAGAAGATAATGAATCTGAAAGAAGCGAAAGAGGTATGTAAGGATCGTGACACTTGGCGATCTGTTCTCTCTGGCTATCCCGTCAGGGATTGTGCGTGAAGATAAGTATTATAGAACTTTATCAAGGAGAACCGGTGATATGGGAGCCTGGAAATCGGTTTTAAAAAAATATTAATAAAAATAAATATTTGCGAGTCTATAAATATTAAGTAGACATGAAGTCGTAGTGACGAGATCCACGTTTAAAAGATCAACGTTGAATGAATACAGACGAATATGTAAACGCGTCGTACTCGTCCACGAATAACTCGACGAGTTATACGGCGAGTTGTGCGTCCGATAATAGATATTTTTAAGGATACTAAAAGTGACTCATCTTTCACTTTGTTTTTTTTTTTTAATATGTTTTCTTAAAATGAATAATTGTAATAATTATTAACTGACTTGCGGTTGATACCATTTTATAGTTTGCTTTGAAACTTGTTATATGGTGTAAAATATCCACTACCGCATAATATCATCAATAAATTGAAACAAGAGACCAGTATCTTCCTAAAACAAGTGAAAGCAAGTAAAAATAATAAAAAGCTGCACTTTCTAACCCGTCTGCGAAGTGTGACAACTATCGCAAAATAAATAAAACTCGTTTGATATTAACTGTTCTTGATTCCCCACATTTCGACGACTGATCTTGGAAACTGTAAAGTCAAATAAAATCATTAACTATGGCGGAATCCCGCTATGAAGCCTGCCCCATAAATCTATGAGATGCCTATGCTCAGTCATGGGATTATGATAGGCTGTAAAATTAACTATTAAGAAATAGGTAGTAAAAATGACAAAACTTGTTTTCTCCATTTTTGAGGCTATTTCTTCTATGTGTATTTTATTTGAAATGTATAAAATACAGAATATTTTAATCATTTACAGATGGAGAACTACAGGCGATCGCAACAAAACGACGACGGCTATTTTCTGGAGACTCTGTAAATGCCGATACTGACATGCCTTTTCGTAATTTTTCGAGCGTGTTGTGTGAAGTGAGCTTGTATTCAAACACACAAATTACACATATATCTATAGAATCTTTTGATAGTAGATTGAAAATATTGTTTAAAATAAACCCTACTTGTTTCCGTGTAATATAATTTCAAGTAAATTAATTCCAGGTAATTTTCATTCACTATTTCGTATAACGGTACAACAAGCTTACTTCGTATTCAATCAAGTAATATTTAGTGAAAGTTTACTAACTAAAAAATGAAATAAAATAAAGAATTAAAAATATGATAGAGGTTATAAATTTTATTGTCAATTAAATAATACTATTACTCAATGGAGTCTTTTGTAGATACGTACTGTTTCTTCGTCATTTGTGTTAGAATTATGTTAATATAATTATGATAAGGCTGGAAATTATTTTTATTGTAAGATTTTTCGTGCCTGATATATTATATATAACTGTTCCTTTTTGCGAGTCATAAAATAATTTTACTTAAGTTTTTCAACGGCCCCGCCCATCTATCACTAACATAGTCTTTGAAATAAATCTGTACCTGACAAGGATTTTCAGTTTTCGTATTATGTTATCATATATTTATTTAAATTTTATGTTATAATTTAAATTTTCTAGTCAATATAAGAGCTAAACATAAGTTTACCATCATTTTATTGTAGTAACTAATGAATATAAATACGTTTCGACGTGATTGTTTCTCATTAAGAATATTTTGATTAATCTAATAAATGGTTAGATACATAAACGTTGTTGTTTATTTTATTAAAACTTTTATTTTATTTAAATACACTTCTGCTTTCCAACTAGCTTGCCAACCGTGGCAACTGTGGCAAATTCTCCATATGAGGCAATCTATGTGTGAAGACTTTCATAGGCTGTAACGGTAACGGTAACGGTAACGGTAACGCGTCTGCTATGAGATAAGGGTACAAAAAATCTTATGTACGTGTTGAGTTACGAGATGATTATCATCGGACACGTCCGATTCAATTTTTGTTAACTATGTAGCTATACAATGAGTTTTAAACTAACAGTTAAAAGCTAAGTCTAAGTTTCAGGTAGGTAAAGTGAATGTGCAATATAAATAATTGGTTTTTGGATTTGGACGTACGGAATAATTCAGCGTAAGATAGCAGCTGACTCAGGACACCCGAGTCTCGGTTAAAAAGAGCAAGGCCGGCTTCTCCGTCTCTAGATGGTAATGGACAGCTTTAAGGTTGAAATGAAGTCCCCTGATGTTGCAAAAATTCACGGATAGCGTGACAGGGGCCGCCTTGGTTGTATTGCTCCGCTTGCCCCGAGCAGCATTAGTCGCGAGCGGAATTCCCCCCCCCCCCACTCACCAAGCGCAACGCAGAGGTAAACCTCTACTTCACGCTGGTATTCTGTGAGGTCGTGGTACCACCCCGGTTCGAGCTGGAAAGAAAAGAGCTTACACCTTTCTAAAAGGCCGGCAACGCATCTGCAATTGCCCTGGTGTTGCGGTTGTTCATGGGCGGCGGTAGTCACTTACCATCAGGTGAGCCGCATGCTCCTTTGCCCCCTCTTCTATAAAAAAAAAGCTTAATGCTGCTGTGTTTCATATGGTGAGTGTGCAGAACCGGAAATCATTTTTACTGGAAAAGAGGCATTCCATTTTAGTCTTACGGTTGACAACGCATCCCTATTTTCGCAAACGAGGATAGATGTAGATGTCTATGGGCTACAGCAACCACTTACTATCAGGTGGAATGTGTGCTCTTTATCCTATAATCAAAACCTATAGATACCTACCTACCTATAGATTACCGTTCAGCCAGAATCAGAAAGAAGGAAGGCCTAACAGTACAAGTACATATCTAAGTTTCGATATCTTGTAGTTATATCACATTAAAAATATCTTTTTCGATTACAAAGTTACATCTGCAGTTATTGTAATCGAGAAAAAATATTGTACTGTACGTATTTTAGTAGACAACAAGTAACAATCGTGATGTTGATTGATGTTTGGGAAAATATTTTTTCAATGTAAAGTTAAGTTTTTCCTTCAACACCTTTGTCTTTTTCGTTAGAGCAATTTTCCGTGCTATTACTAACTAAGGTAACCTATATTTTCCGGGATGGATAAACTATCAATATACATAATAAGCTTAAGCGAAACTCTCAGGACACGTGTCCTTCTTGCACCTGTCTGGTTTTTTATTGACCCGTATCTCTTTTCTATCTCTACGTAGTATAATGGCTGATTTACACAGGGACAGTAACTGGCTCCAAATTCGAGGCAAGTCAGTGCTGACCCGCTACTGGCATAATGTAAATTGATTTGAAGTCAGTACAGCACTGTCTGTGCGACTACTGACTGCGTGTAAATGGTGCAAGTCAGTCGTGGGCGCCAGCACTGGCGCCTGTTATTGTCCCCGTGTAAATCAGCTGCTTCCCGTCGTCTGTACGCTTAAGTCTTCTAAACTACGCAACAGACTTTGATGTGATTTTCATTAATAGATAGAATGACTCAAAAGGAAGTTTTACACGCACACACACACACACACACACACACACACACACACACACACACATATCATCATCATCATCATCATTACAGCCCTTCACAAGTCCACTGCTGAACATAGGCCTCCCCCAAAGAATGCCACAAAACACGGTCCTGAGCCACCTGCATCCATCGACTTCCTGCATGTCTTACCAGGTCGTCACTCCATCTCGTGGGGGGACGCCCTACACTTCGCCTACCGGTACGAGGCTGCCACTCGAGAACCTTTCTTCCCCATCGGTTGTCGGTTCTTCGAGCTATATGGCCGGCCCACTGCCACTTCAGCTTACTAATCCGTTGGGCTATGTCGGTCACTCTGGTTCTACTGCGGATATCCTCATTCCTAAGTTTATCACGCAGAGAAACTCCGAGCATAGCCCTCTCCATAGCTCGCTGAGCGACCTTGAGCTTCCTCATACGGCCAGCAGTGAAGGACCACGTCTCAGTTCCGTAAGTCATCACTGGCAACACGCACTGGTTGTACAATTTCGTTTTAAGGTTTTGAGGTATGTCTGACGAGAAGATGTGTCGTAGCTTCCCGAACGCTGCCCAGCCGAGTTGAATCCGTCGATTGACCTCTCGGTCGAAGTTGGACTTACCCAGTCGGACTATTTGTCCCAGGTAAACATACTCGTCAACAACTTCGAGCTTAGTGTTCCCAACAACTATCGGCATAGGTGTGACATGGACATTAAACATGATCTTAGTTTTGTCCATGTTCATCTTAAGACCTATCCGTTGGGAAACACTATTGAGGTCATTGAGCATAGTGCTTAGGTCCTCCAGCGATTCTGCCATAAGGACTATATCGTCGGCAAATCGAAGGTGAGTGATGTACTCGCCATTGATGTTGATACCGTATCCTTTCCAGTCCAGAAGCTTGAAAACGTCTTCCAATGCAGCGGTGAAGAGTTTCGGGGATATGACGTCACCCTGTCTTACACCTCTCTGCAATTGGATAGGTTTCGTACTCTGGTTCTGTACTCGGATAGCCATCGTAGCCCTACTGTACAAGCACTTCAACACTTCGATATACCGACAGTCAACTTGGCACCGCTGAAGGGACTGCAGCACCGCCCAAATTTCGACGGAATCAAAGGCTTTCTCATAGTCCACATACGCCAGACATAGTGGCAAATTGTACTCTTCGGACTTCTGTACAACTTGCCGAAGGGTATGTATGTGGTCTATGGTGCTAAAGCCCTTTCGGAAACCGGCTTGTTCGGAAGGCTGGAAGTCGTCAAGTCTGCGCGCGAGACGATTCGTAATGACTCTCGAAAACAGCACGTAGACGCGGCTCAGAAGGGAAATCAGTCTGTAGTTCTTCAAGAGAGCGTTGTCACCTTTCTTGAAGAACAAGACCACCGCACTTCTGCTCCACGCCTCCGGTGTAATGCCACCATGGAGGACGGAATTAAAGAGCTTCTGAAGGACTTGAAGTACCGGTCTTCCACCCGCTTTCAGAAGCTCCGCTGTAATTCCATCCTCGCCTGGGGCCTTACCGTTTTTAAGGTGCTGGAGAACCATCCTAATCTCGCTCAGACTGACATCCGGGATATCTTCGGAATAGTGTCGGATGAGACTCGCTCTTGGATCGTTACTCACACTTGCGTGTGGCTCCAACGATGATGTGTACAGCTGCCCATAGAACCTCTCAATCTCACTCAAAATCTCAGGTGTCCCGGAAACGATGCTGCCACATTCTGTCTTCAGCTTTGACAGTTGGCTCTTTCTGGCAGACAGATCTCTGGCAAAGACTTTGGAGCCTTGGTTCCGCTCGATCGCTTCTTCAATACGAGCTGTATTGAAGTTGCGTAAGTCTCGCCGCATGCATTTGGAGATCTGTCTGTTCAGATGCCTGTATGCTGTCAAGTCTGTTGAAGAATGTAGCTTCATCTCCCGTCTAACAGCCATGAGATTAAGAGTGTGATCGGAGAGTTTTTGTGTTCTTCTGCGGCGGGTCTTGCAGAACTTAGCTCCAACCGCATGGACAGTTTCCACGAGCTTGTCATTCATATCGTCCACTTCATTGCAGTCTTCTAGGCACTGAAAACGGTTTTGTAACTCGAGCTGAAAGGTTTCGGGACTTTGAAACAGAGCACGAGGGGGACGGAGCGTTGACTTCATTAGACGAGACCTCTCCAACTTAACGTTTAGGTTCAGTGTGCCTCTAACCATTCGGTGATCGCTACCAGTTTTCACCCTCGCGATCACGGAGACATCACTGAACAGTTGTCGTCTGGTCGTCATAATGAAGTCAATCTCATTTTTTGTGGAACCGTCGGGGCTCGACCAGGTCCACTTCCTGTGGGGCCGTTTCTGGAAGAAAGAGTTCATCATAAAGAGTCCCTCTTTCTCCATGAAGTCGGTCAGCTGCTGGCCCCTTGGGTTCCGTTGCCCTATTCCAAATTTCCCTACTTTCAGCTCACCGTTCTCTCTTGTGCC